GAGCAGAACCTGCCACTCCAATGGTCTCCAGATAAAGGCCATGCACTTTTATTTCCCACTGGCATGGTTGGGTTCTTTATTTGCCCAGCTTATATGTTTCTGCTCGGGCCGTTGTCAATAGATTCAGAGCTGCTTTCTCCCTGCTTGTCATTCATTCCCAGATCTGCTACCTTTGTGGGGCTAAAGGCTGCTTCCTGGACAGCTGTGTTTTCTCTGAGAGTCCTGGGGGAAGCAAGCTGACCACCAGCCCAGGCGCTGGTTGTTTTTCAAGCTTCAGAGATGCCTGGAAAGCAATTAGACTCAAATAGCTTCCTGCCAACATGTTTGCCAACTGAGAATAAATGAGCAAAGAGAAAAACAGAATCTGTGAAGCCAGCCATGGAGAGTAACAGAAGACAAGGGCCAGCCAGTTCATCTCTTTCTCTCTCTTTCTTCCTCCCTTCCCCCTTCATTCTTAGCAAACCATGGATACTATAAGTTTTGTAAAAAAAAAAAAAAATATTGCATCCATTTCATCCCTTAAAGCTCCTGAATGCCCCATGTGCATTTTTTGAAACATGACATTCAAGAGCTACACTTAGGCTGGTATGGCTTTCACGCTGCTCATAGGCCTTGGAGAGGACAGAAATGGAACCCTCTTACTTTAGGTCAAATCACTTGAGCATTCTTCCACAATATTTGAAATGAAAGGACATGGCCGGACTTCCTACTTTTTTTTCTTCCCTGCACAGCACCAGGCAGGTGGAGGAGTTGCAGCAGAACCGTAGTTCACCTCTTAATAGGAGATTTCATGAATGTTCCAATGGCTGTGACTACATTAAGGAAATGATTCTTGCACCACTAGTAGAAGCTGGGCAATGATACCGTAACAGTTCAGAAGCCTTCAATCCAGTGACAATCCAGTGACTTCAGGGGGAATTATGGAAATGTTACATAGTACTAATGTCAGCCTTGGAAGCCACATTTTACTTGGAAACTTCGAGGTGGCCACATTTAGTGCCTGGGAATTTGGGAAGGGGGATTTCATAGAGAGGTAGAAGATTAGACTCAACAACATTCTTTCACAGAAAGTCAAGGACAAGTTGCCCTGCACCTGGAGAGGAAGGTCTGGAGGAAGGTCTCCAGCTTGGATGAAGATTTGATTGGACCGTGTGATGGACTGATGGGTGCAGGGGGTGGATCTTTAATCTTTTTTCTTTGGGGAAAGGAAAACATGGAACTCTCAGATTTGGGTTTTCCCAGATGTGCCAATATGACAATTCTAATAAAAATGGAACCTTGAAAAAATGCTTGTCTCAGAGTTTATTGGTTTGGAGTTGGTTAGCTGGAACGCTGACAACTAAAACATTTTCTCTGTTCAATCTCCATTAATGACATTAGCCAGAGGTAATTCATTTTCTCCTTTCATTTTTTTAAAAAAATATAATTATTCATATTAAACTACCATCACCTGCATTTCCCATTCCTCTCCTGTAGGACCAGGTCCAGAGTGATGCCAGAAAAAAAAAAACTTGCTTGGGTGACGTTTTGACATCTGTGCCAATCAGTGCTCTTGCTTTATAAGAACATCACGACTAAGGAAACCTAAAATCCAGAGGGAATGAATTCCTACTATTCTATTGCAGGATGACTCTGTGTAGCTTTAAAAGCATGGGGCATGATTCTTAACACAGGCTAAAATGATCCAAGCAAAATGCATGCACAGAATAATGAGTGTGCTGGGAAGAGCAGAAAAAATATATAAATTAGATAGATAGCTTGAAATCAATATGTGTTCAGTAATTAATGTGATCACACCACAATGGCACATGTTCCAATGAAGGCTCAGAGAAAGTGTGTGAAGTGACAGCATCAACCAATTTCACACTTCAGTATGTTTAATTTCCACAAGATGTTTGAACAAGATAGCAGGTCACAGCTGTTTTCTGTCTTGCAGGCAGCCTCTGTGTCATTTTCATCCCGGCCCAGGTAAGATGGATAATTGCCAAGAGAAAATGTGCAAATTGAACGGCCACTGTAAGTAGTTTCTAATTGTTCAGTTGTGCATATGATCCAAACTTGCCAACAGGCATATCAATCCAACTAGTTCAGCCTCACTTATTGTACCTCTGAGGGCCACATTTGATGAGTTCTCCTGGGTAGCTTTTTAAAAAGAAAATTACAACGAAGGGAGGGGAATTGTAGATCAGGTGGAGATATGCAGGAAATATTGTATCTGGATCTGATTCTTTTCTTGACCCACTTTCTGTCCAGAGCTAACTGAACAGAACAGAATAACAGAGCTGGAAGGGGCTTTGGAGGTCTTCTAGTCCAATCCCCCTTCTGAAGCAGGAGACCCTGTCCCATTTCAGACAAATGGCTGTCCAGTCTCTTTTGAAAAGCCTCCAGTGATGGAGCACCCACAACTTCAAGCTGAGGCAAGCTGTTCCGCTGGTTAATTGTCCTCACTGTTAGGAAATTTCTAGGTTAGTTCTAGGTTGCTTCTGAACTTTTAGTCTTCTCTTGAGCATATGCTCCAGTGGTGGGATTCAAAAAATTTTATTACCAGTTCTGTGGCCGTGGCTTGGAGGGTGTGGCTTGGTGGGGTATGGCAGAGGAAGGATACTGCAAAATCTCATTCCCTCCCCACCCCACTAACCTACTTTCCAGCTCCATTCTCCTGTGCAGGGCAACAAAAGGAGACCCAGCCGGAGGCAGAGAAGAGTAGTCAGAGGTGGGATTTGCTGGTTCTCCGAACGACTCAACATTTCCGCTACCCGTTCTCCTGAACTGGTCAGAACCTGCTGAATACCACCTCCAATATACTCTCTGTGCAGATCACAATGTTTCAGAAGTCAAAGAAGGTCAAGGAGACACCATTGTTTTTTTGGCAAGTAACAATGGAAAGACAAATAAAACAGAAATAAACCAGGACTAATGGCAATTAAAAACATTTGCATGATAGCCAAAACGCCAGGTACGGAATCCACCTGATAACCTTTCAGAAAATTAGACAGAGCCTTTCATAGCTAGAAAGAATTAGAATACTTTAGAATACAGCCTTACAACATGGGTGGATATATATGACCCACGCTGTTAGGAATAACATAGGTTACCTAACGTAGTTTGGATAAAATAATATATATAAACTATGATTGTAAGTTTAAGTGTGTGTCACTTTAAAACTGCAAAGCATGTAATTTTGGGTGTGGTGTGAAACCACCATAAGAGGGAGCAAGAGAACCTGATTGATTGCTGACATTTACTGGATTGCATAGATTGATGGTTTGTTAACTGCGTGTTTTCCTCTACTGCTGAGTTGCTGAAGGAAGAGAGGAGTTTTTGAGTTCTTCATATCTCTACTGCAAGGAGATATATTACTGGACTGATATTTGTAAGTTTATTGACCTCTCTTTTTCGACACTGGAATTTGCAACTGGATAATCCTTGGACGGACTGGACTAGTGAATGATATATGGACTGCTTGACTATGCTATAACTCTTATTGGAATAAACTATTTAATTAGCACTGTGTATCTGTTTTACTGAGTGTAAGCTACAAAAACGTTTATTTCACATATTTTGCCTGCCTGACTGACTGCTGTGCAGATTCTGCTAGGGTGTATCCCTAACACACGCAATATATATTCCTGCTATGGAAAGCAGCTATGCATGGCTAGAACCATTCTTTGAATCCAAGAGATTCAAAGAATAAAAGAGATTCAAACCAACATAACTCATAAGAGTAACCAGATATTGATTTCCATGTGTTGTTTTTGACCTATTGACTGATAGGTTTGGGATAATCAGATGTATGCACATAGTCTGACTGCTATGAATGCTGAAGGCACCTTTCTTGCATCCAATCCCCTTCCAGATGATCAGTTACCACAAATTGAGTTTCTTTTGCAAGGTGGAATAGCCATCGGATTCAGAAAGTCTTGTTCAGAAAATCACCATGACCACCACTCTCACCCACACTGACAGGGCAAGCCACAACAGAGAGCAAATCTCACTTACTTCTAGCACTGATGATGTTACTTAGGTGGGTCATGAAACGTCTGCAAGCAAACAGACAACTTCTAGCATCTACACGTCCTTTGAACAAACCCATAAAATGGCTGTGTGGATGAATTAGAATATTTGCCTCCATCTCGTTTGTGATTCCCCACCAGAATAAAATCTCCCCCAACCAGCACCATCTGCTTCCTACTTTTACAAACAGGCTGCGTTCATTTACAAATACATAGGGAGAGTTTCTGCTTGCATATTTCTAACTACAACGAAGATGATGGTAACAGATAAACAGATTAAGAGAGTTGGAAGGAACCTTGGTACGAAGATGATGGTAACAGATAAGCAGATTAAGAGAGTTGGAAGGAACCTTGGAGATCTTCTTGTCCACCCCCTATCCCAAGCAGGAAACCCTACACCCTTTCAGACAGATGGCAGTCCAGTGTCTTTTTGAAAGTTTCCAGTGATGAAGCTCCCACAACTTCCGAAGGCAACTTCTGTTCCAGGGGTTGATTGCTCTCATTGTCAGAAAATTTCTCTTTATTTCCTGGTTGAATCTCTCCTGGATCGGTTTCCATCCATTGTTCCTTATCTGGCCTTCGGGTGCCTTGGAAAATAGCTTGACCCCCTCCTCCTCTTTGTGGCATCCCCTCAAATACTGGAACATTGCTATCCTGTCTCCCCTGGTCCTTCTCTTCCTTAGGGTAGTCATGCCCACTTCCTGCAACCTTTCTCGGTATGTTTTAGTCTCCAATCCCCTAATCATCCTGGTTTCTCTTACTTTTTCTAGAGCCTCAACCTCGTTTTTATAGTGTGGTGACCAAAACTGGATGCAATACTCTAGGTGTGGTCTTACTAAGGCTTTATAGAGTGGTAGTAGTACCTCACTTGATCTTGATTGAATCCCTCTGTGACAGTGAGCCTCCCATGAACCTTTTCACCTATAAGTTATTAGGAAACTCAATTATAGACTTCATTAGGTGGTAAGTATACCTGGGAACTGGCTTTGGTGGTGAAGTTATTTTAATTGCATGCATGAAATCAAGAGTTCCCCCCTCTCTAGAATTTAGGGAGGATTAGCTAAGTCATGATTTCCTTAATGCCTATAGATAAGAAGCAAACATGGTATTAAAACTTTGCAGCCTCCCTGGATTGAAATGCTGCGTGACAGACGGGTCTAAAATTCGCAGACCAGGAGCCTTTTTTCCCCACAGGATTTGTCGTTCCATTTTCCATTCGAAAAGATTTCGACACAATTCTCTTTGCCGCCACTATTGTTGGGCTCCCCGGGCACCCAGTTGATGTAAGTGAGCGGCTGATCGTTCAGGTACTTAAAGGTCCCTTTGATCTTTAAGTCAGTTATGCCAAGGAAGGCCGGTTTGTTGTAGAGCAACACAATCTTTTGGATGGCATCGTTCTCTGCGGCATTTCTCGGGGTCGCGAGCTGGCCTCCGGCCTGTGCGCACCTCTGCCTCAAGTCATCGAAGTTGCCTTCATAGCCGCTGGTTTTGAACACTTTGTTGCCTACTGTGCGTCCGCCTGGGAATTCGGTAACTAGAATGAACAAAAATAAAAAAGGTGCATTCTTAGGTCAGCATCAACAGCAGCCGTTGATGCTGTTGATTAAATGATTACACTGGTGCAAACTGATACGAGGTCACCTTGCCATAGGAAGAGATCATTGGCTCTTAAAATACTGCTGTTAGCAATATGTCTTTTTCCCAATCATCCCGGCCTTGGGAAATTTCCAGTGGTTTGTCCAGAAATACCATGGTTTGCATAGCTATTATATCTATATGCTACCCATCTTGGCTAGAGGCTCCTCTAAGTGGCTTACAACCAGAGAATACGTTAAAATAAGAAATATTAAAATCAACTTAAAATTAAACAAAAGTGGCAAGGATGGGAGATACGTCCAAACCATTATGAGCAGTTAATAAGTACAACATATAAATATAAATAAATAAAATAAAATTAGGTGTTTTTTTTTCACTCTTTCATTATAAATCTTTGTAAATATGAGGATTATCTTCCCAGGAAGCAACTTTAACGTGTCCTTGCAAATTCATTTTATCCACTGTGTTGTACAGTAGAATAAGTATATGTGCAATAAATCATCACTGCATGGATAGGAGTAAGTGTAGAAACCTGGTTGTTCCTTGGAAATAATGTTGTTTTACCTCTACCTCATCTGTTCCCCTTGCACACTTGTTATTGAAAATGCAAGAGATTGTTTTGTAGGGGATCCTTGCTCCATGAAACAAGATGGAAGCTTTTCATGACCTTTCTTTGAAATGAAGCATCTCTTTGATACTTACACAACCCCAATGATTAAAGAGGTTGAGTATCTTCAACTTGTGAATAATTTGCAAATATGGGGCAGTAGCACTTTCCCAAATATTAACGCCATCTGACAAGCTTTCTACAGTAGTTTGGGGCAAAACGGTGCTGTTCATTAGTGGGATTCAATTTTTTTTTACTACCAGTTCTGTGGGCGTGGCTTAGTGGGTGTGGCAGGGGAAGAATGCTGTAAAATCTCTAGTCAGAGGTGGTATTTACTGGTTCTCTAAACTACTCAAAATTTCCACTACCGGTTCTCCAGAACTGGTCAGAACCTGCTAAATACCACCTCTAGTGCTGTTGCAGTACACTTGCAGATATGCCTTAGTTGTTCTAATACATTAACTCTTTGCTGAGGGATCAAATTCATCCAGAGGGATTTGTGGATTCTGGACATCATTTTTACCTTTCTGGTATTTGGAAAAGCTGGCCTGCAGAGATTTCAGCTGTCCTTCCAGTGCGCTAACTTTAGTCTTCAAAAGATTGACCTCTAAGAGAGAACAAGATGATGACAATCTGTACCATATTGGACCATAGCATCATAAATAGGAAGACACTGGCATAAAACCGACGTAGGAGAAGAGCAGGGAAAAGAACTGGGAGGTGGAGTTAAATGTATCATCAGCTTAGAGTAGGTACATTGCCACAGATCCAATGCCTATTGAATTCTGTTGACCCTTAGCTGATGCCAAGTTAACCTTCAATTTTAGTTGACTAGATTGTTGTGCATACGTGAGCAATAAATCTTTTTTGAACTTCAATTTAACATATGGACCTGAACCTTTGCGCCTGATAGCTGTTGACTAATCCAAACATTGACTTCTTTTCCCATGTGCCTTTTCCTTGCTGAAAATATTGGTGATTCAACCATCCCGTTACCAACTAATAAAGTAAAGGTAAAGGTTCCTCTCACACATATCTTCTAGTCATTTCTGGCACTAGGGGCTCATCTCCGTTACAAAGCCGAAGAGCCAGCCTTGTCTGAAGACGTCTCTGTGGTCATGTGGCCAGCAGGACCAAATCCCAAAGGTACACAGAACACAGTTCCCTTCCGACCAAAGTGTTCCCTATTTTTCTACTTGCATTTTTTACATGGTTTCGAACTGCTAGGTTGGCAGAAGATGGGACAAGTAACGGGAGCTCACTCCATTATGCAGTGCTAGGGATTTGAACCACCGAACTGCCAACCTTTCTTACCAACAAGCTCAGTGTCTTGGCCCCAGAGTCACCATGTCCCTTTATTATCATTAATTAATTATTATTAATGTATTAGTATTACCAACTAATACATCGAAGATAAGTTCATGGAAACATCAAACAGATGATCTCAAATATTAACCACGTCTTCTCTAAACAGGACACTGAAAGGTTGTCACAATGACATGAAAAGGACTGACTCAAAACAAATGCTGTTTAATGAAATTTTAACAAGGAAGCAACATTCATCTCACTCACCTGAGAGACCGCTATCGCCTTTTAATCCCTTTTCACCCGTGGCACCCCTATCTCCTTTGGTCCCAGGGGAACCAGGTTTTCCCACTGGCCCTTGGGGACCTGGTGGTCCTTGTAGTCCTGTTGCAAGAGATCAAACCAGCAAGTCTTTAAAGTTGGATCCATTTAAAAATGTTTCTAAGGATGGACAAGTGAGATGGAAACCTAACTTTCTTCAGACTAAATCTTCTTTGAGTCAAGCTCAATTCCTATTTCTCAGCCAAGATATTGATGTAGTTTCTCACTGCTACCTGCTGGGATGGTTTCCAACTTCTCAATTCGGCCTTCAGTCTAGGGATTTCCTGGTGGATGCCATCCAATTGCCAAGTGGCCCTGACTCTGCTTAGCTTTGGGAGATCAGCCAATGTTGGTTAGGAGCTGCCATCTGCTACAACTTGAAAAGAAAGTCTCTTCAAGATCAGGATCAGCTCCTGATGAATAACATGGGTGACATCTGTGCGGCTTCTCAACTTCTTAGAATTCATTTGCCAAATTAGATGGAATTCAATTAAGGGATTTTTGAGGTTTCTACCTAACTTGGCTAATTTGCTTAAAATGAACCAATAAACAAAACCCAAGCATCTGGCCACCAATCAGAGAAAGAGCAAAGAGAAGGGACCAAAGCCAGGTTTCTTCTTAGGTGAGAGTTTGTTTCCCAGATTGCAGGATTAAGGTCACAAAGCTAATGGTTCTTCAGCATCGGAATCTCACAGCAAAACTAAGAATGGGACAAACTCCATATAGGAGAAGACCTCAAGCACTGTTACTGCTCTGGGCTTCCAGACCTGGGCTGCGAAACTGCAGATGATTGTGAGATGGAAGCAAAAAGTTGTAGGAAAGGAAACTAACGTTTTTTGGGGTAGCTCACTACTACTGGTCCTAGACTGGACGTGTTTAGGAGCTGGGTGGAAGACCATGAAGGAAGACCAGGATTGCAGACTAGAGAGTTGAGACAGGGAGAAAAACTTTTCAAGAAGAAGCCAAGTGCTTCTATAATCTTGTCAAGAAACCTGGGTGAGAATCACAGGGCATTTGGCTTATCTCCCTTCTCCAGTTCTTGATTTTTTTTTTTAAAAAAAACCTCCTTTTTTACAACCCTTGAATCCCTTAATTTTGGGATAGAGTTGGGACAATTATGTCTGGAGAAATACAGTCACCTCTTTTTCATCAGTTTCTCTCTCTGTGTGTCTCTCTCTCCCTCTCCCTCTCCCCCCCCCCCCCCCCCCCCCCCCCCCCCCCCCCCCCCCCCCCCCCTCCCTCCCTCCCTCCCTCTTTCTTTCTTTCTTTCTTTCTTTCTTTCTTTCTTTCTTTCTTTCTTTCTTTCTTTCTTTCTTTCTTTCTTTCTTTCTTTCTTTCTTTCCAGAACATCTATTTCTCTTCTGGTTTTGCACAAATGGAAAACCTCTTGCAAGACTTTGCTTCCTGCCCCTGTTTGTTCTTTTCAGAATTACCCCTCCCTTTTTTATTTGTCTATATTTCAAAGCTCTCTTGTCTCCTGTCAGTTCCAGAAGTTGAGAGTAGGTTAAACAACCAATTTGCCAATCAGATCAACACCTAAGCCCTGAAACAAAAACGAAAGCCATGCTTGAAATTCAACCGATCGCAATGTGGCACAACTCTTGACTTACCTTTGACACCTGTGTCCCCTTTCATTCCCTTTTCACCCACTGATCCTTTGGCCCCAGCTGGTCCAGGGGCACCTACTTTGCCTTGAGGTCCTGGAGGGCCAAGGGCTCCTTTGAGACCTACAGTGATATTGAAGATGGAAAACTGATATTCATAATGAGACAGGCGCTTTGCAAAAAAATAACAATCCACCAAACAGAACATCATTTCCAGTTTGCACTACTACTTTGTGAAATGCACAAAAGAATAGGCAAATAGCCTCCTAATCTAATCCCTGTTTATATCAAATTAATCTGATGCTTCTAAATTCATACCCAACCTGACTCGTCATGGCATTGCAGCAAAACCAATCAGAACCATCGAAAAATAGCAAATGTAAGATTTCTTGCATCTGATGTTGGAGTGGGCTGTCTCCCATCATATCTTCCATTTCCTCAGTGTTTTATGTGCTCCCAAATTCTTGGACGTTAGATCTAGCACTCTATTTATTTAAGAATTATTTATAACAACTATAAGCATATGCAAATTCAAATCTAGACTCAGGATCCAACAGCTGTAGATGCATTGGAGAGAAAATACAGTTCTATTTTTCCCCGCACGTATCTTATTGCCGTTTTTATCCCAATTCTTCTCAATTTAAACCACACTGTTAATTGCCTAAAAGAGTTTGAAGACAGAATTTGGAAAAATGCTTTGATCTTGCTCAGCAGCTTGGATAAACTCACTGATCTTTCTGATCTCCCTGTAATGGTTGAAGAGGAGATCCCTTTGGGAGATTACAAATGGATTGCCAGTGATCTCTTAACTGATGTTTGGAAGAATACAGCCACATCGATCCATTGAACATGCCTGTTATGCTATTCTTCGATAACTACTTTTTAATCAAATTCCAGAGCATAAGTAGAGGGAGTCAATCTCTCTTAATTAAACAAACTTACCTATTTCTCCTTTGACACCTTTCTCACCTTGTGGGCCAATGTTACCTTTTGGTCCAGAAGGGCCCACTTTTCCAAGAGGGCCCTGCAAACCCTGAATTCCACGTGGTCCTGGTCAAATGAAATGAACTAAGTCAGAAAAGAGAGAGGAATGTACCTGGGAGAACAATGATCTATTGTGCTCAACCAGGAACTTCAGGGGGAATAGAACTGTTGAGACATTTCTAGAAAGAGTTCAGAGAAGAGCAACCAAAATGATTAAGGGACTAGAGGCTAAAACATACGATGAACAGTTGCAGGAACTGAGCATGGCTAGTCTAGAGAAGAGAAGGACCAGGGGAGACAGGATACCAGTCTTCCAATATTTGAGGATCTGCCACAGAGAGGAGGAAGGGGTCAAGCTATTTTCCAAGGCACCCGAAGGCCAGACAAGGAATAATGGAAGGAAACTGATCCAGGAGAGATTCAACCTAGAAATAAGGAGGAATTTTCTGACAGTGAGAGCAATCCACCAGTGGAACAGCATTCCTTCATAAGTTGTGGGACCTTCATCACTGGAAGCTTTTGTGAAAAGACTGGATTGCCCTCTGTCAGAAATGGTGTAGGGTCTCCTGCTTGGGCGGTGGGGTTGGACTAGAAGACCTACAAGGTCCCTTCCAAATCTGTTAAACTTTTAACTGAATCTTCTTGAGTCTGTAAGATTACAGATAAAATATAGTGTTGGACATATCTCTGAGCAATGAAGCTAGCTATCAGTAACCCTTGATTAGATATATCAATGGTACATGACAGTAGAGGGAAAAGTTTGTAAAATTGGGTGCATTTGATGCCTCACTTGAAAAACTGGAAACCATAAATGTGGCCAAGGATGCATCTTACCTATTTGTCCAGTATCTCCTTTCGGTCCAGTATTCCCTTGAGACCCTTTTTGTCCTGCTGGTCCAGCTGGCCCCATCTTCCCTGGAGGACCAAGGCTTCCTCTGGGGCCTTGCAATCCTTTAAATGAGTTGAAGCAAGGATTGTTAATGGAAAAGTGCATACAAGTCTATGTAGTCCATGAAAAAGTTACAGGGGTTAGTCCTCCTAGAGAATAAACCTAACTATTGTAGAAAGTCAGAACCCACCTTCCTAGAAGAATGAAATACTTTGAGGTTTTTTTTAAAAAGGCAGATTATTATATTTCCCAAAGGGAGAAATTGAGAAACATGTTTTTAAAGAGGCAGATAGCAACCTCCATCTTTTCTTAATAACCCACAGCAGATGCCAGCACTTAAGAGATAAAGAGCTTATTGAAAGAAGACAAGCATCTAGACAGCTTTATTCATAAGCAAATAGCCATCATTCAAGATCCAACACAGGACAAAGCCATTAAGCCACAATGGGGATTATTGCATCACCCCCAGACCAATCCAAACTTCAACCAAACATAGCTCAGAGAAAACACTTATAGAGCGAGCTATGACCCCTACAGAACCCCTACATGGCCCCATGGGAGTCTGACAACAGCCAATAGAACACATGTTCTTGCCCAGGAACAGGAAGCTCAAGAAAAGGTTAAAAATAAACTATTCTTGACTCCATTTTGTCAGTTTCCCACATGTGGATCTGCTTCATCATTAAACCATCTTTCCAATCAACCTCCATGTTTCCAGTGTCTTTCTTCCATCTTGGAACGGAACCAGATGGATATTTCTTCCCACACTATCCAATCCATTTGCCCCACTTCTCTAAAAACCCAGGGTTCTGACTAGGGGTATCAATGGTGGAGCTCAAATTATCCTACTTCAGTCTCTGCTGTTCATTGCTGCTACTGGCTTGGCAAAACCAGGCAGAACTGGTAGAATACCACCCCTGCCAACGCTCGAGCTTAAATTACCCTACTTTGGACACATGATACAAAGGCCCAGCTCTTCGGAAACAAGGCTCTTATACTTGAAAGGTGTAAGGAAAGAGAAGCAGAAGAAGTGCAGCAGAAAGGTGGATGGACTCAGCTACAGTTGAGCATAATCCAGATGATGGAGGTGGCAAGAAAGAAGAAAACAGCAGAAGAAAGAAGAAGATCTGGAGAAGATAACAAAAAACAAAGGCCTCAAACAGAAATAGAATGACTTGTGGCCAAAGAAACTACAGCTAGTACCGAGATTAAGAGGTGCCCTGGGTATACCTCAATCTGATTTAAACCTAATTTAAATAAAAGTCTAGTCCCCAATTCTTGCTGAATTAGCCAAGATAATATCTGGGAAGCAGCTTGGAAAGTGGACTCATGCAGGTCATAGGGTCCTGTCTACCTTCCTTCATCATCTGTGCTTTCTTCACTTACATATTTGAAATCATAATTGTCTTGGCTTTTTCCCACCACCTTGTTGGACTTCAGTTCCAATAATTCCCAGGCAAATAATCATAATAGGAATTAAAGAAAGTTGTTGATGGGAGGCTCCATGTTTTTAAGACACAAGAGAAATTATATTAAGCGAAGCTCAAAAGCCTGCAAGAGAAGTCTACTCAAATTACTTCCTGAATCACCTTCATCTATTTAGGAATTGAAGAAAATCCCCCAGAATAGAAAAGGGGTTGTCTTACACTTTTAATACTCTCTTGCTTCCACCCCCTTCTCTGTTAAATCCTTGTTTTTCTTCTCCAGGCTTCTCAGTTTCCCTCCAGTTAGCTAACTTCAAAAGTGAAGAAATGACTCATCAAATATAGAGCTGCATAACATGTGCCTGAAATTAAATTATATGTATGGGGCATGCCTGCCGGTATTACATAATTTAAATAAAGATTTGATATATCTATGAAACTAAGGAAAGCGATGAGCTTTCTGAGCGGTCATTACTTGACCATTCTGATCCTTTCCACCAATGGGTAACTTCAAGTCCTGCTACTTCCTTTAGTTTGATCTTAATAAGATTTGAACTATCAGTTTTACAAACAACAAATATATTCTGTTTTTCTTTCTTAACTCTTGTATGTTTGCATCCTATTTATTGACAGTGGCTAGAAAACAGGATACTTAGTAAGTGAGGGAGATGTTTTAGAGTTGTCCATAAAACTTAGTTGATGATATGAGATAGAAAAAAAGGGCAAATATAGTCAAACTAAATAGATCTTCCTTCCTTCCTTCCTTCCTTCCTTCCTTCCTTCCTTCCTTCCTTCCTTCCCTCCCTCCCTCCCTCCTTCCTTCCTTCCTTCCTTCCTTCCTTCCTTCCTTCCTTCCTTCCTTCCGAGTGGTTAGAATGCAGCATTGCAGGCTGATTCTGCCCACAGCCAGATTTTCTGACCGTCTCAATGCTTTCCTTCCTTCCTTCCTTCCTTCCTTCCTTCCTTCCTTCCTTCCTTCCTTCCTTCCTTCCTTCCTTCCTTCCTTCCTTCCTTCCTCTGGGTGGTTCAAGAGACACTTAAAACAGGGATTAATTATATGAAATTTTTGGGTCAAGCTCTGAGATTAAAGATCTATTTCATCTATCTGATAAAATACGTTGAAAAATTCAGATGTCTTCTATTCTGCTCTATCTCCACATGTTTAGCCAGAAGCCTGATGGGAAACTGTATCCATGTTCTCTAAAATACAACAACAGTTGTTCAATACAACCCAGGGCTGCCCTTCTGTTCATGCAAGGCAAGTAGAGCTCTCCTCCAAATGTCCTTCTGAAGGAAGAGAACAGGATGAAGTTGTATGTACATTCTGTTCTCTACCCAACCCCATGTTTTCTACATATGGTACTGAACTGATTTCTACTTATAGGAGAGTCACCAGCAGCAGTTGAAGCATTGTAAAAATGAATCTGGAGGGCTAGAAAAGGGCTGGGCTAACCTACAAATCCCACCTTAAATTTCTGAGGTTCCTTGGCTCAATTACATACAATCTTACAAGTAATTGGTTGAAATTACTTGTTCTGAGTTTTCTTTGGGAATTCCTTGGTACTCTCTGAGCTTGGTTGGTTTTCTTGTGGATGTTTCCTTACCCAGCTAGGTAACACCATCAGTGCATTGTTGAGTTTTCTTTCTTTCTGCCTATTAAGAGCCAACTGAGGAGAGAGAGCGACAGGAAGAAGTGGACAAGGGGAAGAGTTGGTAGAAAAGAGATTTATGATTCCACTGGCACACACTTCACTCTCCCAATGCAGTAAATGCACTGGAGAAAATGCAATGAAAGGGAAACACCTCTTTTAATGTATGTCCAGAAAGCTGAATTAAACAACACCATGAAGGCATGAATTCCTGACCTTGTTCTCCTTTTTCCCCTTTTAATCCTTGAATTCCATCTCGGCCGTCTCGTCCTGGTATCCCTTTCTCAGCTGGTTCACACACCACCAAGGAACAAGCATTCCAGCTATGGATGACTTTCTGTGGCGCTGGGGTGGACACTGATGCCACTGTTGACACTAAAGCGCAAAAGAGCAGGACCACGAGCATTGCTGAGAGGTAGGACCTAGAAGAAGAAAAAAGTGAATGCGAAGGAGAAATATGTAAAAATATGGGATATAGGACATGTGAGATTCAGCTGTTGGTCAATCAAAGTTGGCAATTTGATATGCAAAGATATGTTTCAATTGGAGTTTGCAATATAACAAAGACTGTCTAATCTCTTCTTAAAAACCTCCATTGATGGAGCACCCACAATTTCGGGAGGGAAGCTGTTTCACTGGTTAATTGTCTTCACTATTAGGAAGTTTCTCCTTACTTCTAGGTTGGGTCTCTCCTTGATTTGTTTCCAACCATTGCTTATTGTCCTGTCTTCAAGTTCTTTGGAAAATAAGTTGACCCCTCCTTTTCTTTGTAGCAGCCCCTCAAATACTGGAAGACTGCTATCATGTCCTCCTTCGTCCTATTTTTCTCTAGACTGGCCATCCCCAGTTCCTGCAACTGTTCTTCATATATTTTAGTCTCCAGGCCTTTAATCACCTTAGTTGCTCTTCTTTGCACTTTTCCCAAAGTCTCAACCTCTTTTTTGTAATGTGGTGATCAAAGGTGGATGCAATATTCCAGATGTGGCCTTACTAAGACTTTGTAAAGGGATACTAATACTTTATGTGATCTTGAGTCTATGCCTGTGTTTCATAGGAGTCTTTTTCATAAATGTCTTTTTTTCTTTCTCTCTCCACCTCCCCCCATTTCACAGGTGTCTTTTTGCACCTATCGCTCTGGTATAAACTTTTAAGAATGGAATTTTCTTTATTGTGCCCCTTAGCTATTTGTGCCTGTTAGTAACTAATTGGTGGTAGAATTCATGCCTTGAGAGAATACAATATGTGTGTTGCACCACTTTCTTATCTCTCTTTGCATTAAATTACAGGAACTGCTTGTTAGAATACAAATTAGAGCTTTGGAGTAAGTCACAAATCAAAGCTACTCAAGTGTATTTCAAGAGTGGGTCTGCATTGTGTTTATGCCCATGACTTTTGATGTTGGTGTGTTCTTGTTTTCTTATCAGTTGTAGCATGATTCTCTCTTCTGGGATCTCCGTTAATGCCTACCCACGCTCAAACTGTCTTTGGTCAACATTCAGGGATGGGCTGCTGGGGATTCGCAGGGGTTTGGGCGATCCTCTAGCTAAGATTCTGTGCAGTTCAGAGAATCCCATTCCTCACTGGCCCTGCCCACCCTTCCCCACCCAGGACTCCCCACACAGCCCGTTTCGGATGCAGGTAAGTGCAGGGCGTGCGCAGAGGCTTGGGGAGGGTGAAAAATGGGCCTCCTGGAAGTTTGAGAAGGCCGGAAATGGGCCTGTTTCTGGCTTCCAGAAACCCTCTGGAGCAAAGGGCAAAAATGTCCCCCCAGAGACTCAGGGAAAGCCTCCAGAGCCTGGGATGGGAAAAAAGGCCCCCCTCAACATGATGCAGGAGGCCGCCTAGGCCACGCCCACCATGGCCATGCCCACCCAGCAACCAGGCAGAGAACCCTTTGCTAAAATGTTTGAAGACCACCCCTGTCAACATTCTGCATGTAAAGTTCTCTGACCTCTTCTAAGTAGAAGAGAGACCAGTCAGTCACTG